TGTGTTGTCACTGTAGCGTAGGAGTAGCCAACAGGAGGAGCCTGAGGCCTTGTTGGACCTGATCCTAGAGTGCCAGGGTCAGAGACTAGATGACCAGAGAGCTAGCCTTAGCTTACTTCCTGATCAAGGAGCAGCTGGTCTATGTGGAGCCTGCAGCCCTGACCAGCCTACCCTCCCCAGTCTGGACTTCTACTACATGCTCATACATTACCAGGTACCAGCATGTCATGTGTATGCATCCATCCATGCGGCCCATTTCAAACAATAGTTAATCTCTTTTACAATATGAAGGGACTGCAGTACAGACTGTCAGTACACTCACTCAGTGGTTCAGAGACTTCAGTTATCCATATAGGTGTGGTTTGAAGTAGAGATGTTAGTCAGGGCACAGGCTTCAACAGTTTCTAAAGATTTAGAGGGTGGCTTACAGCCTTGTATAAAACTGCTTCACTATCAATAGTTCATTTATTTGTTGGTAAAAAAAAAATGTGAGGTGCGATTTTTTCTGACACACAGTTTGAAGATATTCAGGGGCATGTTGTGTTAAATGACAGGTGGACTTGCTTTAGCTGTTTTCAGGAGGCGTTAAGCCTGTCTCAGCTCCATCTCTTGCCTATTCCTAGATTTATAGACAGTTATGTGGAGATGGAATTTCCAATCAATGGGCTTCATAGCGCCTCTTCAGAAAACCAAAGGGTAACATCATTATGACTACATCCATATGTTATACAGTCTATGGCAGAGATATGGTGCTAGACTGTCTGGACACATCCATCAAGGAGATTTCACTGGCCTATCTGACGTATTCCCTTTGCATGTTTCATCATCTAGTCTGACAGGATGGAAGACCAGAGGTGCTCCCTTCCTGATCTGGATGATGTGGTTGGTACACTTCCTGAAGGTCAGGATGATTTCTTCAGTTTAATACAGAGAGTTCAGTCCAGGAGAATGGACGAGCAAAGGGCCTCACTGCTGGTGACACACACGGAGGACGACACACACGTCAACCCCACTGGATCCTCTCCCCATAATCATTTTAACCATCGTCCTCAGTGATGAAGAACAGTCTGAAAGTGTTTTTTTTTTTACAATGTTTGACTGAATACCAGGTCCTGCGTCATTGCCAAGTTTCAGACATTGGAAAAATGTTTGGCTCTTGTTTTTGGATGGACATTTTGAATGTTTTAAGCTGTTATTGTGTTCCCATCCACCCGAGACCAGCCACTGTCGATGTGGAAACCTTGATCACACTTCTGACAACAAACAGCAAAATGAATGCTAACCCACCCTGAAGACATGATTAAGGCTGACTGAATGGATTCCCATTTTACAAGTGTATGATTTGTTGCTTGGTTTTTTTCCTGGCCTCTAGTAGTTAAAGTTTGCCCCTAGCCCCTAGTTTGTAGTTCTGTGGACTGGTAGTTGTCTATTATGGATGTGTCCAATGGATTTAGAGTATTTTAAATATCATCCTTATGTTTTAATGAATCAGAAAAGATAATTCATCTTGTTTGTCTCATCCTAAAGACTCACACAGTGTGAAAGAACCACTTTGGTCATAGAGTGAACATAATTCATGACTCCAGACAGAGTAATGGCAGCCCACAGAAACTGTTGACATAAAGACTTTATCTGAAAGACTTGTCAAATTTGAATAACTTTTGTTACGAACATTTACTGATATAGACTTTATGGAAAACTAAAACTGTTCATTATAAAATGGTTGCCAATCTTGTAAAATTGAACATTGTTTAATTAGAAAGATTTTCTGAGTTATCTCCCCATAAAACAAGACATCAGGACAGTGTGTCTATGATTCATCTCTGTTATAGCAAATTGCACTGTATTACTATACAGACTATAAAAAAAAAAAATCATTCTATCTAACATGACGCTAGTTTCCTAATATATATGAAGCCGTCTAACTTAAGGTAAATTCATAACCTCTCTTTATTTTGAAAACACCCATATTACTTGTATTTTACCACTTGATTTCATCTGTTTAGCTTTACTCTGCTGGTTACTCAATTGAAGGGGTGAATTATTATCCTGACTGTTTTTTAACTTCTTATTGAATTAACCAGGTAAAGATTGGTCTAGAACCTGTGGTGTTTATGAATCAGACTTTGTGTTTTTAACATCATTAGATATCTTTACATGTGATAAAGTTACATCCTTGAATACCTTACTGATGTCTTAAATTGATTTCTCATCACACTAAGAATTTATTTTTATTTACTGAAGAACAAAAACAGTTCATAGAATTGAAAAGATGTATTACCTATAAAGAAAGATGAACATCTTCAACACACTAACACTGTATGTTTAATCGAAGCAGATCTATGAATGATATTTTGTAATTGGTATGACTAGAAGTAGAATTTAGAAGTTCAGAGAAATTTGTTGAAATACTGCTTAACCTTCAGTAAAGGTATAGTAAAGAATAATCAGCTGAAAGTACATCAAGCAACTAAAGTAGATGGTGGATGGTCCCTCTTCTAAAAAATAACCCGTGTACAAATGGACAGTGTGTCTCTGCCATCTCGAATATACCCATGGCAGGCGCTGACACATTGCAAATTTGCAACCAGTCTGCAGTAGGGATCGACAGGTGGAGCTGGGGTATAGACCAATTTGGAATAGATGTCACAATTACTTTGCTACAGTTGCTTGCGCATGAAGGTGACAGAAAAACAGTGGAAGCAAGTGGAAAGACAAACACAGAGAAGCAAGCCAGACCCCTGGTATAAGATTTGTATGCCTTCAGTTTTTCTTTAGTTTAGATGCTGGGTTTCTCCCATATGAAGATCTCCCAGCCACTGTAAATTAGGCCATTTAGCTGGACCCTTTCCCCACTGACCCTACTGTCAGGAAACCTCACCCCATTGCAAGTGTTGGCTTGACACTGTAAGACAACTTGTCTTCCAGTACAATACAGTTAAACTAATTGGAGGAGGCTTCCAGAATATCAATAATTTTCTGATGTAAATTGACCTCTAGCTTACTTTCTACCACCAATTAGGCTCTGCCCACAAAACATGGGATTTTAGGATAGGGATAGGGGGATATTTGCTGCTGTATTGGTTGGTTAAATGTATGTTTTCACCATTTTTGTTTTGGCACACAGAGATGACATGTTTTGTGGTCAGGTTATATATAAAACCCAGGGTCAGGGTTCAGGGTTTAGGGAGGAGATAGAAATTCAGCCTGGCCCTTTCCGAATAGCCACAGTTCAGTATGCAGTGCAGACTTTTCCGTAGCGGGTTTCAGTAGATTGAACTTTCTAGGTCATTCAGTTGGCATTTTTTGGGTCCGCCTCAGTATACTGAACATTTCAGTATGGATACTAACTTCCGGGTTTTATGCAGTATGGATCGGATGCATCCTTTCAGGAAATTAATTGTATTTTACCACCCACAATGCTGTGCGAAATTAAACGTAAAACGTCACTTCACGTCCGCCTCCAAATCAAAACAAACGAGCGTGGATTAATTGAATCAATTTTTAATCTAGAGTTAAAGTCCCGATTGAAATCACTACTTTTAATTAACAACAGAAACTGAATTATTATAAAAACCTTTCCCCCTCTATTTAAATAATGATTTCCATATTTATGTCTGCGTCTTTATTTGTTTATTTTACTTTATATTCTGTATCTTATTGTCTTTCATTTGTATTTTCCTTTATGTACTGTATGTTATTTAGTTATTTAATCTGCCTTTTACTTGATTTACATTGTATTTTTTTTTTATCTGACTGTATCATAGACTGTAAAAATATGTACTGTATGAGCATTACTCTTCTTGAAAAAAAACAAAAAAACGGGTGGATGCGGCCGGTTCGGGAAACGCAAATGACGTCACTTCCTTACTGAATGAATCCGAAGAAGTAGGAACAAATATCTGCCTACTGTGCGCGCATACTGAATAGTAGGTACTAAACAGTATGGATAGTAGGTACTGCCTACTGACAGATTGAGTAGGTACTTGGCAATTTGGATGCACCCCCTGTTTCACTCTGAGGCGTCCGCGCATGCGCATTTACAATCCCGGAAGTAAACACGCTGTGTGTTATTTCCGTAGCACGCGTGCAGCTGTGGAGAAGGTGAGTGGATTCACATGGTAAACTGGATGTGCTTTTAGACTTGTTTAAAACTCTATACTTCACTGTTTTGATTATAAGTGAGTGCGGACTCGGACCTTGTAGCCTGCCGGCTCCTCTCTCTATTCACTCTGGTTCTGTTGTGCTGTTGAACTCTTTTGGTCTGATCTGAGGTCAGATTCTGGTCTGTATCGTTGTCCAGGTGTAAGTGTCGATTTATGTGAGAAGCAAAAAAAGTACTTGTATTTATTTAAAACACTTTTAAGTCTCTGATTCCCTAGTCCTTTTAAAGATACACTTTGTGTTGATTCTTTTTGTGTGTGTTTGTTCAGCTGAAACAGAGCCAATAAGACACATTTGTTTACTTTGGTTACCCTGTGAGATATTTAATTAAAGGGTATCAACCAATTTGTAAACGTTTTGAATAAAAAGAAGGTTATATCGGTTCTGATGTTACCCAGGAGTCACGATCCTGCAACTGATTAAAGCAAAGTGAGCATCTTCTCTGGTACTTTGTATGTATTCACTGCAGTGAATCATATCAGGGGTATGGGTATTCACTCACAATTTAAAGAGGTCCAGAAAAAAATATGTCCAGCAAGTGTCTGAAAGACCATGTTATCTAACTGGTATTATGACTTTTTTCTTTTACATATTTTGATGCTGCCTAGTAGTTGTGTACATCTGCAGACAGTCAACAACTGACCATCAAATACAAAAAGTTAAATTATCTTATTTTTTTTTACAACAGTTGTCATTATGAACTGTTGGAGGGTATATTGTTATTATACAAAAATAAGAAAATGAAGACAATCAATGTTATTTTCTTGTTTCAAGTAAGAGTACAGTCTTTGTTTGTCAAATTAAAATGCAGAAATTCCTCCCCAGAATAAATACTACATATGCTTTATAGGAGGCAATGCAGCATTTAAGTCAGAAGGAACCCAAAGCATTTACAAACTATGCTGGGCTACAAAAATTGTGTCAAAGAGTTTGTGCTATACTAAATGTTTTGACTGAGTGAGCACCGGCAGTAGTTACAGTCTGGCTTTATGATTGTGTAACATTGATTTGTTCTTATCCAGGTATCATCATCATTTTAATTCATCATTAACACGCTCATTGTAGGGCAAAGGCACATTTTGCAACATAGGGATTCTGAAGTGTTTAAGCGTGAAATGTTTCTGTGTTGACAGCGTCTTTCATGGACAGTTTGTTTTCAGGGTGAACAAAAGGCCCTTTTCACACATGAGCCCCTGACATTTCTAGATAATTCTAGGACATTCAAACCCCCCCAAAGATACCACAACTGCCTCTCACACTTGCACCATACAACAGGAAACAACTAGTGTCTTTACAGGAACAAACTAAGCAATTTTCTTACTGAGTGGGCTGCTGCTTTACTCCAAATACTTAAAAGACGACCCCTGGATGTGTAGGACTAATGGGACATCCTGGTTTGCTAGATTACGAGTCTGTCCAGGATTCGAGGGACCCTGGGCCGTGTTAGAATATCGGAAGTAAACTTTCTTTAGGAGAGAGGTTTGGTACTGAACCCTCTGCCAGAGGAACGTAGTCCAACACAGTCTATTCTTTTGTCTCCAGAGACCTGGGGCACGTAGGATATACAGGTTGTGGAGGCATTAAAGTCCATCCTGTTATTATTTTCTCTGTGTTACTTAGTTTGTAGCTGTTTCATTTCAGTTCTCATTAAACTTCTCAATCAGTTGTTTATTTATATACAGCCAACTCACAACAAAACATATACCACCCGTCCTCCTTGCCATTACTTTTTTTTTCCATTTTTCCAACCTTTAACACATTTTATTTTTTAATTTGACTTACATTTGATCATCTGATGTGTTACTCTTACTATTGTACTGTAATTTTGGAGCAATTTGGCACTAGAAGTCCAACCTAGATTATCGTATAACGTATCATAGCTTAATGTAGCGAAAGAGGACGTGACTGTTCAGTCATGAGTTTGTTTTCTCCTACAGGTCAAATAAGAAAATAAATCACCATCAGTTCTGCATCTTCTTCATCATCTCCTCCTGCCGTCATGAAACCTCCTACAAACTCTCCCTCCCCCTCTCGGAAGAGAAAAAGATCACACAGTCAGCAGGACGATCCTACACCTGTTGACATCAACACACCTGAGAAACAAGATAAAAAGAAGAAGAAACACCAGCGAGACGAAGAAGGGTTCAATCTTCCTCCTCCTGCTGCAGTGGAAGATACGAGCAGTAAGAAGAAGGAGAAAAGAAAGGAAAGAAAAGTGGAGCAAGAGGAGAAAGAGATGCACATTGCTGTAGAAACAGAAACTGTGGTGGAAAAGAAGAAGAAGAAGAAAAAGAAACAGAAGACGCTGAGTGAGGCGAACGTTGTCACTGTCACGACAGACCACGACAACGGAGAGACTTCAAAAAGCGAAAAGAAGAAGAAGAAGAAAAATAAAAAACAGAAGGTTATCATTGCTGAGGTCAAAACAGAAAACACAGAGGCAGGAGCCCTGGTTTCTGTTAAAACCAAGAAGGAAGGGGGGAAAAAAAGAAGAAGAAGAAGGTTGAGAGTGTTCAACCAGTGATTTCAAAAGAAGGACAAAATGTGGAAAAGAAAAAGAAGAAAAAAGTGGAGACTGTAGGAGGAGGAGAGAAGCCAAAAGAGCATATTAAAAGGATGAAAGAAAGAGGAGTAACAAAGAAAAAACGGAAAGTGAAAAGACCAGCAGAAGAAGATGATCAGTGAGTTTTTTTTCTATTATTAAGTTGGACTGAAGAGTCAGTGTGGAAATATATTACGTTTTAATGTAGCGATAAATAAAAAAAGACATTTTAGTAAAAGGTTGGTCTGTGCGAACATAACCAAATGTTGTAACTTTTTAGAAAATAATTGCACTACTTTTTAGCGATAGGGGCATTACACCTAAATGTTGTTTTAGGTGTAATGTTGTAGAAGCGAAAACTCTAAAAAAAAAACTAAAAAAAACATTCAAGTCCAAATGTTACAAGATAAAAGTCTGCTCCACCAGCCAATCGGAGCACAGTGTTTCCTTTGTCCTTTATCTTGTCTGAGCACAGTATTAACAGTGTGTTTCCTGTTCTGTCAGGACTGACTCTGCGTTGTTGGATGAACTGCAGGAGTTCATTCCTGATGTGAGGAAGAAATCAGTGGAAGAGGTCAAGATACTGGTGAGATATGATCTACAGCGCTTCAGGAACTTCAAACAGCAAGGTACTAATACAGCAAACACGATAAACCACCAAAACATACATTGCACCATAAAGATCTTCAAACAGCAAGGTATTAATACAACAAAAAGCAAAGTAATAGTACTGCAGACATAAAAGTATCAGGACTTTAATGACTTCAAAGCCCTGAAGGAAATAGCAAGGAATACTCAAATGAACAAGATATTAAGGTAGGCCCACAAACACATCAACTTCTACAGAAAATGCACTTTCCTCCTTCACCAGGGGTGTCTCTGCGTCGAGGGCGGTGCTCTGTGGAGGAGAATCTGATGATCAGAAAGAACGTCGCAGACTTCCTGGCTCTGATCGGCATCAGCTCACCTGTTAAGCTTCTGTTTCCTAAGAGGTTCAAAGGGCAGGAGGCAGAAATCAAGAAGCTGAGAGTACAACATCGCTTTTTGGAAACGATTGGTGTGTAGGCACACATCGTCTTCATCATCATCATCATCATCATCATCAGGGATAACCTAAGTGTAGTAGTTCATGTCTGTCTCTCGATGTTTCTGTCCGTTTGTCTCTCCAGCTGAGGGGATCCCTCGGACATGTCATCAGGTCTACACCAGAGCGAAGAAGATTTTTGACGACAGGAACCACATGGGAAGGTCAGCGGCAAAAAAACATGTCACGCAAATTGCACGAGATCTGACAGCACACTTTTGCACAACCTCTACAGCCTCAAGAAATATTGTTAAAACTTCTGAATTAGGTTTTCACAAACATGTTGGTAAAATTGTTATTGTATCTGTATGTTACCTTTACTTCTATGATTTACCTGCAGAACACCCTGTAAGTCTCTTTATGGTCTGTCTGGTATACTGCCTGTATATACCATGTCTCAGATTTAGCTGCAGAACCTTCTCTGTCATTGTCTCCAGTTTGTAACACACTGTATGTATGTTCTCTGTCAGGTTCTCAGAGGAGGAGATGAAGTCTCTTATCAAGTTACAGAAGATCCATGGGAACAACTGGAGCATGATCGCTATGAAAATGGACCGCAGTGGCTACGCTTTAGAGAAACGCTTTTCCACCATTGGTAAATCCCAGCACACATGACTTTGTCTCCTCCAATCTTGTCTTTTTTCCCAAGTCCTGCTAAAACAACGTATACCTATGTTAAGATCTGACAATGACAAGATCAAATTCACACTTAAGACACAATTACTATGTTACTTAGAACTCATGGATCAGTGAACAGTAAACTGAAGTTTAGCCCTCACTGAAAGCTGGTTTGTGTGTCTGTAATAACTGTGTCTTACCTGTGTCTGTACTGCATGTGTCTTTCCAGGTGCAAGTCATGGTATGTGGAGTACAGAGGAGGAGTCAAGGTTGAAGGAGGCTCTAAAGGCTCACCTGGAGGTTCTGGTTCAGCAGATTCCTGCGGGTTCAGGTTTGAGCAGAGAGCAGCTGTGTAACAACCTGCCCTGGGCCGAGGTCAGTCAGAAGGTCGGGACCAGACACTGGGTCCAGTGTCGTCTCAAGTGGTCAGTATTGGCTCTGAAACTTAACTGGCACCGAGACTATTTTGTTACTCTTAACACCTTAATGAAGATAGACATGTGGTTGTTCTGACAAAAAAAGAAACATGAAGAATATTATACTTTTGTAGAAGAACATGTTAATATTGTAGGTGCTTTGTGGCCTGATGTTAAAGCTACCAAACTTGGAACTTAATGACTATCATGTGATGGTTTTTTGTCATGAAACTGATTACTGTTGATTTTTTTACTGTTTATTTAACAGAACCAGAACATACAAGAGCAAATAAGAACACACAAGAATTCAATCAGACTCCCTTTCCATAGTAAGATTGGAGTTGTTAAATCAGGCGTTTGGGTATTTAGATAATAAAGGGTCTGTTGTCCAATTTCAAATGGTCCATGTATCCAGTTAATCAGGTAGTTATTCAACATCTTGAGCTGTCACGATGTTTTCGGATGCAGGGGTGATTGGTTGTCAGTTGTTTAGCTGTCCAAGTGTTTAGATGATCTTGTTGACAAAGTGTCGGGATGTTCATGTGTGTGGTGTCTGTGTGTTTCAGGTTCTCCCTCTTAAAGACAAAACTGTCTCCAGGTGTCAGCGCCTTCAGCAGAGGAGCAGAAGGACTTCAGGCTAAAATTCAACTTATCAACACGTAAGATCTACGTTAAGATTGTCTAGTGGAGAAATCAGTTTAATGGCTGTTAGAGCCAGGGGATCAAATGCAACTCTTAATACAACTTAACTATAATATGTATGTTACTACTGCTAATATTAGAGATAATTCATTGTGTGTTTCAGGTTGAACAACATGCATATTGATGATATGGCAGACATCGACTGGGATGAGGTCGCTGATAGTATTGGGTGAGATCAAAGGTTAAACTGTTAACCTGTTAAAGTGTGATGTAAGCTGATCTAGAGTGCTTAATAGATCAGTCGTCTGTTCATCTTTTCAGAGTTCAGGTTAGGAAATTTACTCTACTGGCTTTATGCATCTGGGTGTAATGTTGCCTTTGCGGCGGTGCTCTGCACAGCTCTCCTCAGAGAGAATAACTGAACACCATAGATCAGAATCAGCTTTATTGGCCAGGTATGCTTACATACACAAGGAATTTAACTTTGGTGAACTGTGCTCTCTTATGTACAAGTATAACAATAAACACAAATAAGCAGACTAATATGTACAAGACTAAATAAGAAACAGTGCAGTGTTGAGTCGTGCAAAAGATGCTGAAGTAACATGATGATGATAATAATAATAATAATAGTAATAGATGAGAAGTAAGTGCAAGACATTACAAATAGCAGTATGAGTACATATTTTATATTAGGTGAGTAACACAAATAAATCAACATCATGTTTCAATTAGTTTTTGTTAGTAGTTAGGGTTGTTTTTTGTTCAAATCTGTTTTGTAGGACTAATTTGTAACAGTAGACACGATTATAGAAGTGATTCTGTTTGGACTAAAAGTAGCACGGTGTTGTGTTTCAGCAAAGTGACGCCTGTGTGTGTTCAGAAGACTTTCCACCGACTGAAAATTTCCAGAGTTCCTAACTGGACGAGATTATCATACGGAGGTCAGTACTGGAATGTTTGACTTAACTGTCATGCAGCAGTAGTTTCTTATTTTGATACCTGAATAAACTTCATCTTACAATGTGGTACTTTGTCTTACCTTGATTCTTAAACCTACTGTGACACTTGTTTGTGTTATTTTAAAACTTGTATTGTTAAACTTTATCTAACTGTGATGGTACTGTGACGTTATTGTTATACTACGTCTTTCTATTGCGCTTTATGAAACTTTAAGACCAACATATTTTCATAACAAAGTAAACATTCTCCTCATTTGGACTTGTGTTCATCTGTTTTTTTTTTTTGGTTTTTTTTTAGAGATTGTAGACTTCCTGCATGCAAAGGTCTGTCCTGTCCTGAAGAAGAACCTGAAGAAGTTAAGTGCAGAGGAGGTGCCGAACACGCAGCAGCAGGAGGACACGTACCAGCTGTCAGACATCTTCAGCTCAGAGGAGGAAGGTTTTGTCGAGGTGGACAACAGTCAGCGTTCAGGACGCAGATAGGTGAAGAGACATGAACCGAAGGGAGAAAAAGGAACAGCAATCTGATTGGTTGTCTCTCACCAGTGGACAGACTTATCTTGGACTACAATGAATTGGGGTTTTAAGTGGTTGATGGGTAGATTGTCAGTATCTATGTGATCAGAAATTTGATGGTTTACATTTTTCTAACTTTCTAATGAAACAATTTTTAATGCTACCCGTCTCAGCTTCTTTCATCACCTTTCTGGTCAAACTTCAGAACGGATGAGTTTCAAGTTCAATTAGGATCGTAAGTCTGTACAGCTATAAGTACTATAACTATGAACTGAGAAGAAAAATAATTAATTTTTAATTAAATATGAATTAATTCAGCTTTAAAAATGTATAAAATGTAATAGTACAGTACTCTAATCTACAGTAACATGTAAAATTAGATTTTCTTTTCCTCTTTATTCAGGATTTGAATTTAAATAATTGAGAATTCCTGAAGCATCTTAACCAACATGAAGATTCAGACAAATATGGACAGCACATGATGTCAAACCAGCAACAAAATGAAGGAAATAAATCATTCTACAAACTTTCAATCTGGAGTAATAAAAATGATGTACTGATTCTTTGAGAGAACAAATATACTGCATATACTCAAAGTGAAGCTTCATGATGAGTAATTATGACAATTATAAAAATATGAATATTTCTACAGCAATAATATAATGAAAACTTTTGACCTTCAACAATAATTTCAGTATCTAATTTATTTCATTATGCAGTATTATTTTTATTTCTTCACCTAATGTCATGCTGGCTTCTCAGACTACCACAAAAAAGGATTGTAGGAAGTGTAGTCCATCCTATAGATCTAAATGTCTAAACATGTATTTATTTTTTTAGTGACAATGGCAGTACTGCACTCTTTGGATTTAAAGCATCCTGCTGGAGAAGTGAAGTTAAAACACAAAGTTTGTGATGCAATAATGCATTGTGGGTAGTGCAGTTCATCTGCTAGCGATGGCCTGCAAGTTGCTGGTCCGCTTCATAATGTTTGGGACAAACAGAAGTCCAGATGCCCTCTCGATGGTTTCTATGGGCACCAGAAAACGCTCCAGAGGAATCTTCTCATCTACTGGTTCATTTGGTAAAACATAAGACCGAAGCTCCACCCCCCTGCCATTCGCCTGCTCCAGGATCAACACCTGTGGAGGAACAGGACAGGTGAATTCACCAGCCGTCATTTCAACATTATCACTTCTGCAGCAGATAAGTGGACTCACTTTGAAGAAGTGCGTCGGCACAGCAACGTGGTTTTGTCCCAAAACTTGATATCGAACATAGAGTTTCCCATCAGCCTCCGGCCTGGAATACACACAAACAATACTGTTGTCTAATATTACTGAAGCTCCTCCCACACAACAAGGCACAAGTAGAAATAAAGGTTTTACCTGGGCAGGTAGAGAGGTCCAGTGCAGACGTAGACATTAAGGTAATGCTTTGTTAGAGAGCGACACATTTTCTCCAAGTTGTTCCAGGTCTTCTGGTTCAGGTGAGGGTTCTCGGAACAAACAACACAAATCAAACATATGAATGAAGTTTATTGAGGCAATACTCATCATAGTTAGAATATTATGGAAACTATTTCTAAACAAGTATGAATATGCGCAACCTCAACACCGGGCCCTGCTCCCACACATTTTAAACTGCATATGACTGTAAGAGTTTACTATTACAGTTTCAGTAAACTTCATCCTTTTTACCTGTATTAACATCTTTGTTACAACAAATTATATACAGCTAATAATGCAGATAAATAGATGTCTAATTAAATGTAACAGAGAAGAATTCTGGCTCTTCATCAAAATCAAATGATTTTAGTGTGATTAATGAGTAAGTAGACAAACCAAATAAAATGAAACAAAGTTAGCCAACTATTTTTTTCTACCTTTGAACCAGGGCTCTTTTTGGTTTTGTGCATCTGCATTGGCACACATATTTACAATGAAGGTTCTGCTTGTTATTTACTGTTGCCATGGTTAATCACATTATCTGCTTCTGTCAGCATCACTGATAATTATTTTTGTCAACTACACATGAGCTAACAGGAGATCACTGAATGAACTAACTCAGATCACCTGATCTGGATCTAAAAACTCTTACTGTCTCAGGCCCAGTCAAATAACAAGTTCAGTGTTGCTCTGTAATAAAACAGGTGCCAGGTGTTCTGGCCACAAGAGGGTTGTTAACACACACATCACATAACTGAAGCCGAACTGATGTTTCCTGTAGTCAGTTGTGATGAACATTAACAAACACACTGCTTCTACCTGTGGTGCCACATTGCTCAGGTAGAAGGTCTCCTCCATGGCTTTCTGACTCCACTTGTGATTGGCTGCAGCAGCCAGGTGACCTCTGTCGAAGCCGCTTCCCTTGTAGTCAGCATTAGTTGCTCTGTGACATACGTGCACACTGTGGAAGGGGGCAAGAACTAATCAATCTTAAATTAAAGATTTCAAAAGAAAAATGTTCCACATTAAAAGACACTTAATTTCAGGTTTGTTCATCTCTTTTTTTTAAAGATTTATTTTTAGGCTTTTTGTACCCTTAATGGAGAGATAGGACAGTGGATAGAGTTGGACATCAGGGAGAGAGAGTAGGGAATGACATGCGGGAAAGGAGCCACACACTGGATTCAAACCTGGGCCGCCCGCTTGGAAGACTACAGCCTCCATACATGGGGCGCGTGCACTAACCACTGTACCACCAGCGCCCCAAGTCTATTTGACTCTAAAGATTTACCTGTCGTCCTCTTTGAATTCGCAGTATTTCCTGTCTGACGAGCCGCTCAGAGTGGCAGGGTTTAGCCTTTCTATTACCCAAGATGCAGTGCGTGTTCGGGGGTCGTATGAGGTGACGTAGGACTCTCTGGTCTTAACGTTAGCCAAAGAGGGGAAGCCATACTTCATCACAACTCCTGGTCCAACTGGACTCACCTGAACAACAATAAACAGCAGGTAGTATATAAAACAGGAAGTCTCTTTCAAAATAAGACAAAGGTTTGTTCCTGAAAATTGCTTTCTACAAAAACACCGGAATGAAACTACAGTCAACACTGTTCACTGTTTTTTTATTACTTATTAATGAGAAAAACATCACATTGAAACCACTTGCTACTAAAATTGTGAAACACGTGTTCAAATATTTATAATAGTTTATTGTAAGAGCCAAAATAGGGGTTTTGTATGCTGCCATGTTATTTGTTTTGTATTGTTGGGGGTGTTGCTGTAAAGACCACAGCTCAAGTCACTGTCTGGTCAGGTGTGGGATCCCTGAAGGGGAAAAAGATTTTAGACTATCCAAACGTGAAGTTTGCTGTCATTGTAAAGTTTTATCAACTTTTATTAAATGTGTTGTGCTTTGGATGAATATGAAACTGTTTCAACAGCAATCTAGTCAGGCAGCTAATCATTTGTAAAAGGCTGATTGTAAACTGTGGCAAATTCGTGTCAGCCAGATGATCACTCCTGGTTCAGGCTCATCAGTGGTTGGGTTAAAACCTCTTCAGCATAAAGCCTGTAATTATTATGTGGTTAAACATCTTCTGATCATGTCACTTTGAAGTATTTCAAGGCGCTTCCTGCAGATTGAAAGCCATGTGTGTGTGAAGGATGTGTTATGGCTTTGCAGCTGTTTCTTCATGAGCACGTGAGCAGGGGGAGGTGTTGTTTATTTCCTTTACGCACACCTGAATGTACGTGCACACACACACACAGATAACATTAAACACAGATGTTTTGTTTTAATCAGATCATGTTGAAAGTATTTTAACAAATCACACACACACACACACACACACACACACACACACACACACACACACACACACAACACACACACACACACACACACACCACACACACACACACACACACACACACTTCTCTCACCGTCAGCTCGGAGGCCTGGACCTTCGGTACCGGGAGCACTGGTATTATACTGAGTAAACCGGCACCGTCCGGCTCTTCCTCCCCGCCTCTGACACTAAGGAGGTGGGTCACTGAAGCCCCGAGTCCGGCTCCGACTAACAAGGTCGCACCAGCCCGCAACCAGCGCTTCATGCTGCCGGTGGATGATCTCCTTCTAATGACGCATTCTGATGACGTAAACGCGACAAAACTGTTTTCCAATCGTTGTTTATCTTTTTTTTTTTTTACTCTATTTGATCAATATTCAAAAACATGTACATATTATACATTCAAATGCATTATAAATGTTTTATAAACATCACACGTCTACTGTAGTAGGCTATAAGTAGTAAGTATAAAATAACATAACTGTACCATAGACTGTAAAACAGTAAGCTACATAATATCAATATTAAATAAGAGGAAAACAAACAAAAATCTACATATGGGGTCAAGTAATTATTTTTTATCAATTTCATATTTGTGAGGTTTATACTTTCAATTGTAAATATATACATCATCAAATCAGTTATTAACAAATACCAAGAACAAAACCTGTCGATTTAACATGTAACAGGTGTTACAGGGGAAACATCTTCAATAAATAGTATTAACACCTTAAACACAGAGGGATACAAATTAGTATTCTCTTTATCATAATAATAGTAAAAAAAAAATAGAATAGTAATAATATTATTATATTAACAATAATATATTATTATAGAGCAGTAGTACAGAAATCCAAAATGTATATTGTAAATATGAATCAAAACTAACATAAATAAAGATGTATGGGGTTCTGTCAATAATTTAATGATTTACTCACGAAAGACAGGAGACATAAACTTGTAATTAAGTTTTTATTCTTATTATTGGTAAAATGAATAAAAAAGAAAGACAAAAATATCACAGACAAACAATTCAAGAACGGAACAAGAAATACTTGTGGATTACATTGTAGTGCATAAAAGAGAAATACAAAGTAAAATGTACAACAAAGTGACAAACAACTTTCTGATAATTTAAGGGGAATAAAAACTATGTTTAATTTCAAAATATTAGGTTGACGTTAATTAAAAAATTAAAAAAAACAACTAAATACAAATCTAAGGCATTATTTAGATGAGCTGAATGATTATATTATAAATGGGGATTTAAGCAATCTTCATCAGACAAGTATGTTATTGTAATGATAATATACAGTTGACAGAGTAAGAGTCAATGACTTCAAATAATATTCAACCCCTGAAACATATTATAATATCACTTGTGTCCTGCTTTGCTGTTCATGATAACTGTAACTTGTATGGGTATTTATATGAATCTGTAGTGGGGCTTAATGTGTGAGTTTCATATTTTTACTTACTTTTTTATGAAGATACAACTTGAGAGTTGACATGATAAATTCTACCACTAAAATGTAGAAGCTGAGTTAATGAATAAAAAAAGACAATTATGTTACAAAGTATATTGTTTATGTTCAGTAAGTTGAAAGTGTGGTATGTGTGAGTAACTGGTTATTTGTCTTGCAGTAGTATTATTAGTAGTTGTGTCAAAAGTATTATTGAAAGTTTGAATTTTGATATTATTACATATGTTTGTATTTAATATCTTGGGTGAGTGATATTTGACCTTTACATTCCAACATTAAAACATTTTCTGCACAACACAGACTGTCAATATGGTAACTGTAACAACTCACCAGTGTGATAATCGTCCACTCAAAAACCAAAACTGAGGTGAGTTCCTTATGTTCAAATCGAGATTATGATTGACAGTCAGGTCAGCAGTCAGAAGAGTGTCTTGTTCTTATCAAAGCTCACCATAATTGTGATGCGCTTACATACATTTACCAAGAGCAGGAAGCTTGGGAATGCCATGACACATGTAAGCAGGGCGTGTTTTTAAGGAAAAAATGAAATGTCACAGAATGATCTCATATTTAAAATGAAGCTGAAGCAAAGAGCTATGACTTATATTCATTTACAGACAATCACTGGTGAATGTCTTTTGAGTAAATGGCCCATTCCTAACCTCCACACTCCCAGACTCGCAGGTGTGTTCGCACTGATCTAGCGCTTAGTGTTGTTTCACTGTAAAAACCATCAGTGCTTTGATGTGGACTTTATAACTCCTAATAGACACTTTCAATGCGCCCGTATTTCTGTATTTAGCCAGCCCCATACCAAATGTAAACAATGTATATTGAAGTATAAAAGCAAGCAGGTTTGAAATTTTCTTTAAATGTAAACAAAACAAGCATGGACATGACAGGAAAAATGCAAATAAGTTTATTTGTAAGTGACGAATTGTATCCTTTCTGTGGTTATTATAGCACATTTGTAGAGGGGTATTTTATTATCAAAGATTAACATTAAAGGCTTTTCTTACTTTCAAAGGTTTTCGGGCATGTAGGTTTGATGACATATGATGGAATTTTTATTTTCTTTCTTTTGTTGTGTATTTGTTTTATTTTTTTTTAAATATATTTTTAACTACAGCTATTGTTGTTATTTTTTTAAATGTGCGATATGAAGACATCAATAAATCAACCAATCCAAGTTTGCTAAAATATATAAGTACAGTAATGTAAGAAAGAAAAAAAAATACTGGAGTCAAGAATATTTTCTAAATATTTTATGGCGCATTTTGTTTCCAGTCAAAATTGTGACTTTATGATAGTGTATCCCAAACCTATGTTTTAGCATTGAATGTCTTTATTTTAAAGTCATTTCAGTTTTTTCAAGTCAATAAGGATTTCTACTTGGCGCTCCTATCTGTTAAGACATGTTGTTTGGTACACTGTATGCTGATTACATATACGTTTTATATTCTGTATAATTACTGTTGTTTTGTGTCTGCCCTTCTATTGTCTGTGTCTGCTATTTCTCTTCAGTTGTGTTTTGCGACATCATGGTGTCATAAATAGACTCTGACTTATAACTGTTGCCTTAGAAGCCGACATTATAGTGTTTCTAACTTTCCAAAATGTTGCTCCAGGACAACACATCAGACTGTGATTCATCCTCATAGGTGTTTCTATTATGAAAACACATCCTGTGCATACAGGAAACAGGTTCAGTTCATATAAAACAAATGGCTCTGTATTAAAGTCCCCTTTAATATTCATCCCTTAATGTCACAATCAAAGGGCATGGTGGAATGTAAATGGGAATGGTTAGAACAAGGCGGAGTACATCAGACTCAGGGTCAACAGGTAGAGGTGTGAAGTCAGAGAGGAGGAGGAGCCTTCAGTGTTGTCGAGGCAACCGTCTTTCTTCAAACACACACCCTTCTCACAAAATGGACCTGTACACATGAAATAATTAGACAAACGTAACTTGAGCTGTGACATCATTAGACTCCCGGCCCATCATCACCTGAACAGGGATATCATCAAGTTGTGGGTTTACCTGTGAAGTTGTCGGGACAAAGGCACTGCTGAAAGTCATCACAGGTTCCTCCATTTTGACAAATCAAACGCTCGTCATCACAGATGTTCTCTGAGGAAGAAAGTAAGTTAGTCTATTGAGTAATTACTACCAATTCTACAAGAGGGTTCAGATCTGAAGTGTATCAAATTTCTTAATTTTAAAGGAAACTCAATTACTTGTATAAGTTGTACTCAACCACTGAGAAGAAAGTGTTGGCACAATGCCAGCACAGACTTAAGCACATTTTCAAGGTTTATGTCACTGTTTTTCGTGTTCTTTCATTCTTTTTATGGATCACAAGCCCTGTTTACCTTCATAGGATGCATAATAAGTTGACATTTGTTGAGTGACTCACCCTTTTCAGACTGCATTTCCGCAAAAGCGCTGTAAGTAAGCTTGTCCTTCATTACGTCTTGCTACATTCATTTAGATTCTGCAACGATGTAATAATCTTGTCCCAGTATGTCAATTCACATTGCGTTTCTGGGTTGCTGAAGTTCGGCACAGCGGGAGCGCCACATAGCCTACACACAGTCCGACATTGTGAAACGTCACAGGGACATAAAGAGTTTATCTCTTCTCTTTCATTCAGCCTTGGCAGTACTCCTGTTTTAGTAACCTTATTAATTCTGGGTTGAGTTATTTAATATTGCTTCGGTGTACAAGGAAACAGGTGCATCTGATGCCTCTTTGTGTTTGGTGTGGTTGGGTTTCTTTCCTTTTGTGCCTCAGTGGTAGGTCTGCTATCTCTTAATCAAAAAGTTCACAGTTCAATCCCAGCTCAGGCAGTCAAAATGTCACAGTGGCCTTTACCAAGATACTGAAGTCCAGATTGCTCCTTGTGTGTTAGCCAGTGGTGTTTAAATGTGTACGAATAGGATTAGTAGGACGCATTAGTGTAGTACTGTATAAGTGCTTTAAGTGGTCAGAAGATTAGAAGTAGTGCTATCTAAGTACAGTCTATTTAAATATACCATGGCTTTTTTATGTTGGCTCTTTGGTATTCTCTTTTAGAAGTAGTATCATATCTTATTATTTAACATTTATTTAATGTTTTTTCAGCCTGTATTTGGAAAGTTTGGTGATATTGGAGCCCTTTAAAGGGGAACTTCCGGGTAAACATACTTTGAAGGACATTTATTGTGCTTACTTTTTCGTCTCTCCAACAGTGTAGTGAAAACACAGGATTTGATCTCATAGCCAAAGCCCTGCCCCCCTGTCATGTTTACCTATGCAGCTGGCTCCATCTTTTCTCCAGTTGTATCCAGGTGAACAAGTGTCACAGCGCCGGCCCGAGGATCCAGGTTTACACTGACAAAGACCTGAGTCAGAGCAGTGAGGAGAGAGACTGCTCTCTGGATCACAGTCACACTCTGAGGAGACAAACATTGCCAGAGTTATTATAATCATTATCTTCATCATCTTAACCATCATCATGCATTCGTGTGTGTCAATGTTACTGACCAACACAGACTTCCTCATCGTCCAGTTCCACAGAAGTGTTTCTATAATAACCAAGACGACAGTATTGACAGTTCTGTCCTCGTGTGTTGTGTTTGCAGCTCACACAAGTGATCACGTTGATGAAGTCAATGTAGCTGCAGCGGTTGGAGTGCCCGTTACACTCACAGTCTGACAAAAGGAGAGACAGACGTTATGAAAACAGACATCATGGTCATTGGGTACATTGGGGACGAAAATTCCTGTAACAGAATTTCTAGTCTCAAAACTTCTTATTGTTTAATTATCATAATTTCACATGTATAATGTACTTACCTACATTTTACCTCTTGACATTATTATTTTTAAAACATTATTTTGAGTTTTACAAACTCTGAATAGATGCATTAACATCACAAAATGACAAAATGAATGGAATCAAACACACTGGTGAGACAAATATGGACACTAATGAATATGACAGGAACGATGGAGACAGATCCATGATTGGGGTCAATAGTGTCATAATAATGATCTATATACGGAACCCCCACTTGTTTCTTATATTTCTTTTTGCAGACCTTAACCTTAACAGCGAAACACTCGAGAGTAACCAGGAGAAGCATTAACTGCCAAAGAGCCTGAAGGAAGCACCATCTAGCGTCAAAGCTGTTTGATCTTTGTGGAAAGATAAAATAGAGGTAACACCATTAAAAAAAAAATCAAAATACAATTACAGTTTTTTTTCTGGGAGAGGCTATATTTATAGGGGAGGGGGAAATTAACACTTGTTGCAATGAACAAGTGTGAGGCCAGTAAATGTATGTGCAATTATCAGAGGTCTTACCCTCAAAAGTGACATAGGCAATTTTGGACAGCTGACTGAACTTTGGTCCTCCTGGAATCAGAATCTTCTGGGTCGCTTCAGACAACAAGAAAAAAAACCACAGCAACAGACAGGTAAATGTTGCAAAATCAGAGCTCAGTACTGAACTAATCAAGACATGGGGAACCATCAGTGAACACCCCTTGAGATGTGTCTTCTGGGTTTTATGGGGGTCACATTCTACTTCTGCTTCTACTACTAGTACTATTACTGCTGTTACAAATGGTAGCCAGTTGGAGGCAGTAAGAAGTTTATGAATGGTATACCTTTCTTTTTCTCGTAGTCCTTCTCTTCTTTCTCCTTCCTTTTATTAACTTTAGCATCCTTTTTTCTTTCCTCTTTGACAGAGAGATAAGATTAGTTAAGATCATATAAGATAGAAATGTTTTAATCCCAAGGTACCAGGCTGCTCAAGTGACCTCAAGGAAAATGTTTGAATTTTTGGGAAAATTTGAACCACAGTTCATTTTATTAAGGTTATGTAATAGGGAAGCTTCTTTTCATTAAAAGAGCAGTAAAAATTGATAATGCAGTCCCTAATCTTTGCCATTTCACTGACACAGAAGCTTCAGCTTCAGCCACTTCTGCATCAGTCTTGAAACCCTTCAACCTTTATCCAGTTTTCCAAAGTATCTTCAATATTTAGTCTTGTTCTACCACATTTGGAGCCATGGAGCTTATCAGAAAAATAACAGCTTTGTAGGTTGAGTAGACTCAGTTATGTCTGAACCAGTTCGCTTTCCTGTGTCCAAACTGAGGAGCATCCAAAATGGCTGTGTGGGGGTGCCTTAAAACCGCCTACCTTCTCTGGTCAAAACAAATACAGACCATTCCGGAGCGGTACAGAAAATCTAGAAGGAAGACAATACTGGCTGCTGCATTGCTGTCAGAGAAGTCAGCACTTGAACATATCATGTTTCCTTAATGTATGATGATATACTTAGGTGATTTTAGGATTTAATCAAGTAGATAGCTTACATATTGCTCCTTTAAACCTTCAGTCATGCCAATGTAACAGAAGGCCACATTATGTTGTTGAAAGCTTTGAGGCGAAGTAAGTTGAACCTTTTGTTTCAAATTTTTGGACAAACTGAATTTAATAAGGTTTCGAGACCCTTAACCAAGATTACAAAAAAATCAGGTCAGCCAACATTAATGACAAATTGTACACAGTAAACAGCAAAACAATTCTTCGTTTTGTACCTTTGACTTCCTTCTGCTCTCCATTCTCTTCCTTTGAGTTGTTCTTTTTATCAGACTCATCTGCTGTTCCAGTGGCATCTGTATTCTCTCCAGATGACTTATTTTCCATCAAAGCTGCCGAAGGATCTACTCCTGGATTATCTGCTGCTTTGGGGGATTTTGGTCCAAAAAATTGGTCAGGATTTGTACTATCGAGTGCTCCTATTGTCTCTTCTTTGGAGTCTTTCTTTTCATCTGATGCTGACTCCCCTGCTCGTTCACTGGCTGCTGAGTCCTCTCCAGTTGACTTCCCTTCCATCAGAGCTGCTGAAAAATCTACTACTGGCCTAAAACCTGAATCCGGACTTTCATTATATACTGCCGTTGAATCAGGTCCACCTGATTCTATTCCAATATTTTCAATCTGTCCTGTATCCAGTCCTGCTGACACATAATCTCCTCCAGAATCAACTGAATTTGATCCAGGAGCATCAATAGATCCACGGGAATCCTCTGGAGTGGTCCCTGGCTCAGCCACAGGCATTGTTCCAGAATCTGGTTGAGATTTAATTGCATTTGGATCACCAGGAAAAGGGACGGTGAAGTCCACAGGGGCAAATTCGCTAGCAGAGTCATACTGACCCACATAATTGGAGCTTGTGTCTGGTGCAGCACCACCTTCCCCTACTTTTGAGGGACGCAACAAGGAGTCCACAGGAGCATCAGGAGGAGGTGCTTCTGGAGTGATTTCATCAGGAGAGGGAACATCTACCAGAATGTCTGGAGTCCTAGAGGAGTACACTTCTGGAGAAACATCTGGGAGAGGTACATCTGGAGGAGGTACATCCGGAGAAGGTACATCAGGAGAATATACATCTGGAGGCGGTAGATCAGCTGTAGGTACCTCCAGAGGAGGTGCATCAGGGGGAGGGACATCTGGAGAAGGTACATTTGGAGTAGGTATATCAGGAGGAGATACATTGGAGGGAGGTTCATCTGTAGGGGGTACATCAGGGAGAACTTCATCTGGAGGAAGAACATCAGGAGCTGGGACTTCCTGAGTTATATCAGGAGGTGGTACATCCGGAGGAGATGCATTTGGGGGAGGTAAATCTGGAAGGGGTACATCTGGAAGAGATAGATCAAGAGGGCCTTCATCAGGGGAAGGTACATTTGGAGCTGATGACTCCAGGGGTACATCAGGTAGAGCTACATCAGGAGGGAGTAGATTAGGAGGAAGTGTATCTGAAGGCGGTACATCTGTAGGAGTTATATCTGGAGCAAGTACATCAGGAGAAGGTAAATCAAGAGGAGGTGCATCAGGAGGTGGTGTATTAGGAGATGGTACTTGGAGTATATCAGGAAAAGGTACATCTGGGGAAGGTACATCAGAAGCTGGAACTGGTAAGTCAGGGGATATGTCAGAAGTGGTTTCAGCAGGGGAAAGTACATCTGGAGGAGTTACAACAGAGGTGGGTACTTCAGTGGAAGGTACAGGTGGAGGAGGTATATCGGAAGGAGGTTTATCCGAAGTGGCTCCAGAAGGAAGAGCATTTATTGAAAAGTCTGAAGGAACATCTGAAGAAGTTCTGTCAGCTCCTACTGTAGATGAAGGATCTGCAGCCTGTCTGGTTGTGGCTGAACCAGTGGATTGAGTACCCCTGGATGGAGCCCCGTCACTGTCTGGGGTTATGGATGGTGTTGTTGGTGCTCCAGGTGATGATGTAGTAACTTCAGCAGATTGTGTAGAACGGGTGATCAGGTTTGAAGTATCAGTCCCAGAGAAGGTGGAGTCTGTGCTGTCTTGTGAAGAGTTGGAATCATATGGCGCAGTCACTGGACCAGAAATAGACACCTCAGAGTCAGTACTACTGCCTGGGATTGTGGGGCTGTTGTTACTGGTGTAACTGGAAGGACTGGAGTTGCTAATAGTTTTACTAGGAGTGGTTGTGTCTGGTACTGTGGTAGCTGTATTGTACAGCAAGTCTCCAGTCACCAGATCTGGACTGCTTGGTAAAGTTGTGTCGGCTGTAGGTCCTTTTGTACTGCTAAAGTCTGGAAAAGTATCAGGACTAACAGTACTACTGACAGTAGTAAAATATTTAGAACCAGTGTCAGTTATTGCAGTAGTCAGATCTGAACCACCCCTAGGAAAGTCACCAGTGCTTATCAAGTATATTGTAGAGCTAGTATCAGTCTGGGTAGTACTGATAGTTGGAACACTGTAAGTGTCAAATACAGAAACAATATCCCTTGTAATTGTTTCTGCAGTACTAGTGATGTCTGTTGTAAAGGTAAGGTCAGTAGTAAAAATGTTAGTGCCAATAGTGGCAGCATTGGTAGTTGTCGCACTATCAGTAGGAGTAGAACCATCTTTCAGAGTAGTAGTAGAAGTAAAAGAAGTAGTAGTAGTTGTAGGAGAAGTAGTGTCAGTAGAGGAAGTATAATCAGTTGTTGTATCAGTAAAAGTAGAAGGACTTTTAAAAGAGGTGGTATAATCCATTATAGTTGAAGTTGTGGTACTTGTAGTATCATCTGTCATAGTAGTAGTCAAAGTTGTAGTAGAAGTAGTTTCAGTAGTAAGGGAAGTATAATCAGTTATAGTAGTTGAAGTAATACTGTCAGTAGGAGTGGTATCATCAGTCATAGTAGTGGAAGTTGTTGAAGTAGAGGTAGTGTCAGTAGTAGTCATACTGTCAGTAGGAGTGGTATCATCAGTCATAATAGTGGAAGTTGTTGAAGTAGAGGTAGTGTCAGTAGTAGTCATACTGTTAGTAGGAGTGGTACTGTCAGTAGGAGTGGTATCATCAGTCATAGTAGTGGAAGTTGTTGAAGTAGAGGTAGTGTCAGTAGTAGTCACACTGTCAGTAGGAGTGGTATCATCAGTCATAGTAGTGGAAGTTGTTGAAGTAGAGGTAGTGTCAGTAGTAGTCACACTGTCAGTAGGAGTGGTATCATCAGTCATAGTAGTGGAAGTTGTTGAAGTAGAGGTAGTGTCAGTAGTAGTCACACTGTCAGTAGGAGTGGTATCATCAGTCATAATAGTGGAAGTTGTTGAAGTAGAGGTAGTGTCCGTAGGGTATGTATTATCTGTTTTTGCAGCAGTACTAGTCATACTGTCAATAAGAGTGGTATCATCAGTTATAGAAGACGTTGTAGTACTGCCCGTAAGGGTACTATCATCGGTCATAGTAACAGTGCTAGAAGTACTGGCAGCAGGGGTAGAATTATCAGTTATGGTAGCAACAGCGGTGGAAGAACTGTCAGTAGGGATAGTGTCAGCAGTACCACCAGTTACAGTAGTGTCAGTCATTGTTGTAGTTGTAGCACTATATGTAGTAGTAGTAGCAGTACTGTCTGTAGAAGAAGTAGTAGCAGTAGTAGTGTAAGTCACTCCATCTGATGAGGCAGAGGGTCTATCAGATGCTGCTGAGTTAGAGTCACCAGCCGCTGTCAGAGAAGAAGAGTTATGTCTCTTTAGTGAATCTCAGCTCTCTGTTCTCAAAAGCCTGACCAAACTCTGCAAAACATTGAACTCTGGGAACTCTTAAATGTGCCTAAAACTGAGGTCATATAAACTATCATAGCTAAATTGTATGCTGGCAGTAGAGTAAAACATAAATTAGATTTTTGGGACAATTGAAAACGTGGACTAGAAAAGCATTTGTTTTCCTCAAGCAAAATATTGTCTAAAAGGCTTTATAAACCACAGTCAGTTTTTGCTATATGCAGACATAAGCCCCTGTCATAAATGCACTTCACTGTAAAATTCCAACATCGGCAGGGGTATATGTGCAAATGGACGATTCCATTTACCCCTACTCTAGGGGGCTTTTTACAAGCCAAATAGTCCAAGAAAGAAATAACCAGTTGTGACAGCCTGTCAGTCACTCACTCATGGTCCCGCTGTGTGGGACAGTTGTTAAAGGCAATCAAAAAGATTATTCTCGAAAATTTCAGGACCTGATGTTCTGAAGTTGTCTGGAGAATGTCAAGAGTTTATGTGTGAAAGGGGCTTTAGTCACTCAATGACACCCTAAGACTTTTTATCCTGAGGGTCCCAGAAAACATCCTGGTCCTCCTGCTATGGAGTGGGCTGTTTAAGGAGAAAAATAATCCTCCTACTGTGTTGGTGCGCCAACCGCCATTCTGGCACATCAAACATAAGCACCTGATTAATGTTTGTATTCGTCCAGATACAAAATATCCCATTTATTTAGGAATCTACTGCTGCCATCACTTTACGCTTAAAAACGTTGTCACCCAATAAGCCAATCAGGAGCCGGCCAAAGCCTGTGTTGTGTAAAGTTCTGTTTTGCAGAGATCTTTTACTGGACTCTAATTCTTCTGCAACAGTCACCAAATCCACATTCTACTATAACCATAATTTTCACTTTTATCACACATAAAAATACACTTTAACATGAGAGATTAGTTGTGTGGATTCAGTTACTGTTACATCTTTTGGGTAACTATCAACTATGAGGTTGCTCTAATTGTTCTATTTTCTGATCATTTGTTTGGTCACTTTTGCATCCTGAGGGATCTCTTTGTGTTGAAACATAAATTTGTTATTATATATTTTCAAATATGGATGCAGTCTCAAGCAGAAACACATGAGTTACATGTTTATAATAAATGTCTATGTCTATATGTCTGGGCATATTGGTTCTGCTATTCTGTGCTGCTATGCAAATGAAAGTATTAAAAAATAATCTTGAATTCCAAAATGTGTAAATCTGACTGAGAAATACCTACATCTTCATATTTTGAAGTGATGGACCACTCACAAACCTGCTATGGTTGACAAACAGGGACTAAGTGTGTGCACGCCTGTGTGCATGCGATTGTGTGCGTGTGTGTGTGTGTGTGTGTGTGTGTGTGTGTGTGTGTGTGTGTGTGTGTGTGTGTGTGATTGACAGGTTAAAGAACACTAATACAGATTAAACACGCACACCATCTGTCAGCGTTAACAACAGATTAGCTTTCAGACTCTCCTCCCAGAATGCACTTTAATTTAACTTCCACACATGTGATTGACCATGTGACAAATCAGAATTAATTAGATTATGTCTTAATTTGACATGTATGACGTATGTATGTTTTTGAACCTCATCTCAAATACAAATACAAAACGTTCAAAGGTTTTTTTCATTTTAACTTTGTTTTCTTTCTTTATTATTTCTGTTTTTACAAACTGACTGAATATTGTCATATTGTTTTGTCATAAAACTGATTGCAAAGTTGTACCCCATGATGCAATATAGACCACATATATCTATCTGGACATGGAGACAAAGGTGGTAAAGAAATGAAAGGGACACATGATCAGAAAGACAGGTTAACAGGTAAACACATGGACAAGTGAATAGGTGTACAGACAGACAGGTGAACAGGAGAGCTGACAGACATGTGAAAAGGTGAAAAGATGAACAATTAAACAAGTTCAGACAAGTGAACATGTAAAGACTACTTACTGGCTGCTGATTCTGCTGCTTCACCTGAAGAAGAAAAAAATCATGATTTGATGTGTAAGTGTGTCATATGACTCAAAAACTGTGTGCACTTGTGGATAGAGAGAAGCTGTCTATCAGTGTGTTCACATATGTTCAAGTGGTGGAAGTTTGCTCATGTACATACAGGTGTTGGCAGTGTGTCTAGTTACATCAGATATTTGCAAATCTTGGCAGTATGTACAGGTATGTAAGATTGTTAGTAGTGTGTTAAGGACAGGTTTATACAGATGTTGGAAGTGTGTTAACTTACTGACAGGTGTTAATACTGTGTTCATCAGGACACACAGGTAGTAGTAGCCTACACTATGGGGCTGGCAGTGTGTTAAGGTAGATACAGCTGCTGGGATTGTGTTCAGGAAAGTATAAGGTATTTTAGAGCGTTCCTGTACTTGCACTTGCTGCCAGTGTATTTAGGTTTCTACAGGTGTCAGGGAAGTACAGATGCTGACAGTGTTTAAATGTACATTCAGGTGTTGGGAGTACGTTCAGGTGCATACAGTTATTGCCTGTATGTTAAGGTATGTTAATGTTGGCAGTGTGAGTCGGTGTTCGACTGTTGACAGCATGTTCAGGTACGTAAGGTGTTGTCAGAATGTAAGGAATGTATTAGTGTTTGCATTGTGTCTTGATACATGCAGTAGTGCATTGTGTTCAGGCATAGGTGTTTTCAGTGTTTACGTATGTATAGGTGTTGTGAGTAAGTTCAGTGATTTACATAAGCAGGCAGTCTGTTAACATATAAACCAGGATTAGCAGTGTGTTCAGATTCATACAGAGAGCGGCAGTGTGATCAATTCTCCTACAGATGTTTGTAGTAGTTTCAGGTATGTTTGGTGTTTGAAGTGTTTTTATGTGCACTGCCAGTGCTGGAAGTATTTGTGAAGTAAAGATGCTGTTAGTATTCAATGTTGGCATTGTGTTTAAGTTCATGCAGGTGTTGGCACTGTATTTTGGTACATACATGTGTTGGCAGTTCCTGTGGGCAGGGGTAGGTATGACGCTGGTTTCCAGCTCCGGGGATTGAATCCCGGGCCACAGCGCTGACAGTCCTGTCCACTTGTGTTGTGATCACATTCACACTGCAACGTCGCATCACGTAACACACACTGGGACGCATGCAGGTTACACTTACACCTGCAGAAAAACACTGCTCATTCAGATGTAATGTTGAGGGTTCATTGGTCAAGTTGACAATGGTTTCAAGCGTTTCAGATGTTATTACTCTTTTTGTACAATGATAACGACATGAAACCATTGTGGATTTGGTTGGGTTAAGGTACCAAAACTACTTGGATAGATTTATAGAAAAATGTCCTGGTATGGGTTTAAAAAAGTACTAATGTAAGTAACATAACGATTGTTCCTATGTGGTCATGTACAACACATACAAAGTGTTTCACAACAAATGTATGCTACATGACTTAAACCTCAGGTTTTATGACTTTTCATAATACATTTCCTGTCTTCAATGCAAAGCAAAACAGTGAGCTAGAGAACTGTTTCACCACTGTCCTAGAGGCTGAATTTATTGAGGAAAGAGTGAGAACATATTGTCAGGTGTCTGCCCCCACACAAAAAGAGCTTGTGTGAGACAAGATAGTATCTCTGAACATATATTGATATTACCTGGCAGGTACGTCAATGTTGGAAATAGCATAGAAGTATTTCAGAAGATTGTCTCGTTGGACATAGGTCCCTCCAAGTGCTGGGCGGAGGAGTCTCAGTCTGAGGTTAGTAAAGGTGAAGAAGTCTCTCAGACCCTTCATGGTCTCCATACGGGTGTAAAGGGCATCCATGTTGATCAGCTTTGGACCTGCAAACACCCCGAACCGAGCACGTACCTCGAATACCACCATCTTCTCCTCCTATTGGATAAACATTTACAGTGACTACTATTTTTTTGTCACATCTAAAAAAAAATCCATCATTAGATAACAATATTGATAAACTCAGGTAAAGTTGGATTTACACCTGTGTTGAGGTTTCTATACAGACTTTTTTGTATAATTAGTGTTATCTATTTTCCAGTATGACCAGAATTAAGTCAAGCTACCCACCTTGGCTCCGACCCAGCGAGAGTACTGCTCAGTACAGATAACCCTGGTTAGGTTACTTGGAGCTAATTCGGAGACTCGTTTAGGAGACATACCAAATGCCTCCAGACAGTCATCAGCATAATACTGATATGGCTGCCACGTTACACCTGAAAGACAACCACTGATTACTAAGATATTTCTCCTCTATATAAAAACGATGATCAGATTTCAGATCACATGTTACTACCAGCAGATGTATGACTGATGAACCCTCTTCAACCTCACCTTTGTCAAGGGATTTCTCCAGCACCATGCTGGTTGGTCGACCATACTCGAAAGTGATGGCAATGTCATCGACAACTTCCAGACTCTTGTTCCAGGACAATGTAATGTTGGCCAATAGGGGCTCAGGAAACCTGGACCATGTGACTGTCTGCCAGTAGGTGATGAGCCCCCCTCGCTCCCTGTCTCCCATCAGCTGAGGAGGGTGAGACAAGTCGGGGCTTGATGCATCGCACTCATCGCTGCACAGGTACGGGTTCTCCTGCAGGATTTAAAACACAAACAGAACCTATGTGTTCATTTAGAGTCAGATATAGCTGTATTACCATGATTTTCACCGCAGGATGCTTTGGGAGTTGGTGAATGCTTGTTGATATCTAAATTCTGAAACTTGTTGTAAAATTAAACATGACCAAGTAAATCGCCTGAAAGAAATAAAATCTTGTTTTGCCAAGAATCAAAATAAAAGGTCCACAATAATCACATACTGTAACACTCTTGATGACACAGCAGTTCAAGGATTTTACATCCCAGCAATGATGTCTCATCCCTACAAGGATGTTGCTGCTATACATAGAAATTAAAAACCTACAATAACATTAACAGACCTACCGAGAAATAACCGACATACAATTAATTAAGGCCCACAATAATGAGCCCTACGATGATGTCACAGCCCTTTCGATATGAAACAACAATGAAATGATAGAGCCACAGTAGAACCATAGATAAACAATGGTGTCATATCAATGTCATATAAGTAACAAACATCATGTTAGCCAATGTTGTCTCAAAATTGTTGAATTTCTAATTTCCTGTTTGACTTTCAGAATTATACAAACAGAAAAATCATGTCAAAAACAACAGTTTAAAACACGTTGATCAACACTACGTGTGTTTGTGTTTGTGTTTGTGTTTGTGTGTGTGTGTGTGTGTTTGTGTGTGTGTGTGTGTGTGTGTGTTTTTGTGTGAGATAGATTAACACTGATGTTAATCTGATTGGTGTGTGTGTTAAAGACTTTAGCTGCTGCTGCCAACTGTCACACTAGAGGTTCAAAGGACTTAAATCAGCACTAACTATTCCTAAGTGACTCCTCTTACAAATGAGATAAACCAGTCTTTCTCTGCTGAGATCTGCATGTTCGTTAAAGAATCATCTTCACAGCAGAAGGGCTTCAAATTGACTTCCGGATTCCTCATAGCAGCTCAGAGATCGGAGCCAATACAGCAAGTGAATTGTAATTATCAAAATAACATCAAGGATCAATACTCCCGAATGCAATGCTCTCTAGTATAAAACATTTCATTTACATTTTTATTCATCATTATGGAGAAACGTTAATTAACAGATTTAAATAATTATATTTTATTATTTAACTCTAATGCACCATATCACATTGAGACTCCATTGCCATCAAACTGTGGATAATAAAAAAATACCATCTTTCATACCACATCTGTGTACAACACTGTGTTCTTGCACACTTAATGTATCCATCCTGCCCTTAACTATAACTATCTTTCATTACTTTTTTAAGGTATCTGACTCATTATTATGTTTTGTGTCATTTTAGTCTTGTGGGGATTCCAATTAATAATTCACATTTAATTTTTGCTTCATAATCAATAATTAAGACATGACTTCAGTGTCTCAAAGGGACAATTAGAAAGACAGCAGGACTCTATGTGTGTTAAATCTGTGGGTAAGGACCCCACAGGAGGTCACTTGCTAACACTGAAGGGTCACTATTGATTGACAGGTGATTACTGTATCTTTAATATAAGGTAATTGATTTCCTTCACATTATGTTGGAACATCATCAGCTGTCCCTTCTGATACCAGCTTAGAGAGAGAGAGTAGCATTATGGGATGATTTTGGCCATCATTTTGCTTAAAAGGTTCCCTCCTATCTTTTAGAACCTGCTGAAAAAGTTATGAGTATGCACTGACTCACTGGCCCAGGGTACTATAGTATGAAGCTCTCTCATACGAGCACATCAGTGATATTTTGATGCTACTGGCCTCACTTACCAACTGCTAAAGAAAAGTGACCATGCCATGCCGCTACACAGCACTTAAGCAACCAGTTACCATCCCGTTCACATTAAAGAGTTGTTTGTTTGCAGCATATGAATAATCCCAAACATGGGATAGGGCAGGTAACTCTTACTGTTTAACCAACTGTGCTCAGAGGTGTTCTAGTGATGAGTATGACTGTTTGAGCCTTATTCTTCAGTTGCAGATATTTCTGCAAAAACAAAATCTTAATATGAAAATAAAATGTGTAAGTGGTTTTACTCTCATATCCTAGAGCACAACAAGTATATGACTCTGGTGCTTTAATCAGTCTCTGTTTTAAAATGATATCAGTAAAAAGTAAAACTAATAGCTATAGTATGAAAAATCTTCTTTTTTTTAAAACTGTTCATAAAAGGAGGTTTGTCTTTAAGGGTTGACTTTTGACCTTTTTATAAACATGATTAAGAAGAAAAAAACGTTGCACGAGAAAATCACTGCTGACATTTAAAATTTGACACAACTGGTCAGAGATCATTTTAATATTTTCAGATATAGGTTAGCTTTGAAAGACACTGAGAGAAATGTTCCACAATGTGTGTGTTTAGTGTGTGTTCCTACCAATGTACAGAATCTCTCTGGTGGGTTTCCGCAAGTGATGCCGGGGGGGTCAACTTTGATCTGCATCACCTCCTTCATGTTGGCAGGTGGAGGCTGACAGGCGTATAACTCCCATCCTGGTCCAGCCTCCGAGACACGTAGAGATCGGCAAACATTGAATTGACCGCCGGTCTGACACCAGCCCAATGACGGCAGGAGGAGCGTGAGGCAAAGGAGGCAGGGAAGGGGGGGAAACATGGTGGTCCGGCAGTCAGACAGACTGGAAGTTCCTTGGGAGGTCACATTTCAAAGTCACCTCCCACATTTTTAATCCATAGGGTCACTTCTGCTCAACATTCTTTAGACAGGTGGTTGTCATGATAAACAGGTGAAGCTTTCAGTCAGCCCTGAAGATGCTTCGCCAACTTCCAGCCTGAAAAACACCAACAACAGGAATAACAGACAAGCAGCATAGAGCAGAGACCTGCTCACACCTAGTCCAAAAGACCTGATGGCAGTAAAAATTGAGGTAAACCTGAGGACAGTAACATCTTGTGAGACCTAGTCCAGATAGCCCTGAGGACATTTAGACCTTGTTGACTTGGTCCAGATAATGAGAGTTAGACCTAAGGACAGGTAGACCTTGCCACACTTGGTTTAAATAGACCTGAAGACAGTTTTACCTCATAAAGGCAGTAAGACCTGAGGACAGTTAGGCCTAAAGGTAGTTCAGTCAGGACAAGGACAATTGGAAGTCATTTAATGTTGTCCAGATAGACCTTAGTTAGTTAAACCTGAGGAATGTTGGATGTGTGTAAGGTAGCTAGACCTAATAACATAATAACATAAGGTCTTGTGACCTTATCCAGATAGACACGAGGACATTTGGACTTTGTCCCACTGCCTGCTGCCTGCCTGTCTGTCTGTCTGTCTGTCTGTCAGCCTGCTTGCCTATATGTCTGTCTGTCTGTCTGTCTGTCTGTCTGTTTGTCCGTCTGTCAGCTGTCTGTCTGTCTGTCAGCCTGCCTGCCTGCCTGTCTGTCTGTCAGCCTGCTTGCCTATATGTCTGTCTGTCTGTCTGTCTGTCTGTCTGTTTGTCCGTCTGTCAGCCTGTCTGCCTGTCTGTCAGCCTGCCTGCCTGCCTGCCTGCCTGTCTGTCTGCTTGCCTATATGTCTGTCTGTCTGTCTGTCTGTCTGTCCATCTGTCAGCCTGCCTGCCTGTCTGTCTGTCTGTCTTCTGTCTGTCTGTCTGCCTGCCTGTCTGTCAGCCTGCCTGCGCCTGTCTGTCTGTCAGCCTGCTGCCTATATGTCTGTCTGTCTGTCCTGTCTGTCTGTCTGTCTGCCTGCCTGCTGTCTGTCTGTCTGTCTGTCTGTCTGTCTGCCTGCCTGTCTGTCAGCCTGCCTGCCTGCCTGTCTGTCTGTCAGCCTGCCTTGCCTATATGTCTGTCTGTCTGTCTGTCTGTCTGTCCATCTGTCAGCCTGCCTGCCTGTCTGTCTGTCTGTCTGTCTGTCTGTCTGCCTGCTGTCTGTCAGCCTGCCTGCCTGCCTGTCTGTCTGTCAGCCTGCTTGCCTATATGTCTGTCTGTCTGTCTGTCTGTCTGTCCATCTGTCAGCCTGCTGCCTGTCTGTCTGTCTGTCTGTCTGTCTGTCTGCCTGCCTGTCTGTCAGCCTGCCTGCCTGCCTGTCTGTCTGTCAGCCTGCTTGCCTATATGTCTGTCTGTCTGTCCGTCTGCTTATATTTCTGTCTGTGGTTTGTGTACGAACATCATCACAGATGATTAAACTGAGACTCAGAGACTTTGCCTGTTTTCCTTTTTTATTAAAACAAAGTTTGTGTGGCAGATTTCCTGAAACAGGATCTCAGTGCTCACTGTATTAGGAGGACCTGTACAGTCTTTAATGTGCCATCACACCTATAGGGTTTATTTTTAAATCCAGTGAATTTTACATTTGTTTTGGCTGCTCTGTAATACACTGAACTGAGAGCTGTTTCTAATGTTTTCACACACAATGTGCTCACAGTATAATGTACCTCTAAACATTATGTATCCAAGTCAAGCACATCAATTACTATGTGTACAGCAGGGTACACTGAATATTGTACACTGAACTGTGGACACTGAAAACAGATACTACAGGACATTACACCTGTCTTTCTCTACAATGGATAGACAGGTGTAAACTTGTCAACTGTTTGTCTGTACACCTGTCTGTCTCTATATGTGTCCCTATCTGTCTGCACAGATACATTGTCTACATGTCTGGCTTTATCCCTATGTCTCTACACCTATCTGACTCAACTCCTGTACTTTTATTCAACGGACTGTATATCAGCTCAACTCTCTCACCAGCTGTCTGTCTATTTAACTGTTCTTTACCACACCTGTCTGTCTCTAAACCTGTATTTCTGTACACCTGACTGTCTAATAAGTCTATCTCAACACCTGTCTGTCTCTACACCTGTCTCTTTCCATAATTGTCTGCATTTAGAGCTGTGTTACCATCCACCCTTTCTGTTCATTTGCCTATCTCTACAGCTGTCTGTCTCTATAAAGCAATTAAACAACAGGGAACAACATTTGTTTTATGGGAATTAAATCTTAAAATCAAACTTCAGATCACATAGAATACTTTACCAAATCCATTTGTCTGCCTTCACACTTTGTTTTCACTTTGTTCACACTTTGTTTTATGTGAACTGCATCTTTAAATCAAAGTTTAGATCATGGAGACTAGATTTCCACAATTTCCCAGTTTCCACAATTTCCCAGTTTAGGATCAATAAAGTAATTCTATTCTATTTTAAATTTAATTGGCACCTGTCTCTTTGCACACCTGTTTGTCACCATATATGTCTGGCTCTATGAAAACAGAAAATATGAGGAAAAAACTGTTTTTTTTATTTTAACTGCATCTTAAAATCAAATTTCAGCTCAAAGAGAAGACTTAATTACATCCACCAGTGTGTCTACACCTGTCTATCTGTACTGCTATTTTAACATCTGTCTATCTCCACACCTCTCAGTCTCTATAAACACATACAAAAATACAGAAAACACTCAGTCTGTCTTTCTCTCAGTATGTCTCTGCGTCTTTCAAAGTGTTACTCACCTGTTTATCTCTCCACATGTTTGTCTGTAGTTTGTCTTCTTGATAATCGTATCAAACACTTGCCAAAATGCTGAAAATCTTCATTATGCCTTCAATAAAATCAAAATGTATTCTTCTTCTCTTCCCTTTTTGTCCTACTCCTGAGTCTTTTCTTCTTCTTTTGTCCTCCTTCTCTTTCTCTTTTCTGTACTCCTCTTTATCTTTTATAATCTCCTCCTGTCTCCTGCTCTTTCCCTCTTCCTCCCCCTCTTCTCTCTTCACCTGAAGATAAACCTCTCTGAGCTCAACAGACTATATCTCTCTTGCTCTCTCTCTCTCTCTCTCTCTCGCTCCACTCTAACTCTAGCTCTTTCTATCTCCCTCTCTCTCCCTCTCTTACCCTCTTTCGCTCCAAAGATTTATTATGTGAGTAATTCAACCAAGCAATATTGGGAATTGGTTAATTGCAGCAGAGTCCTCGAAATTAAATAATGTAATTCAAAAAATAAAAGCAAATCATTAAACAAAGAAAATGTAAATAGTTTTGCATTTGTTTTAGTGCATTTAAAATGTGAGGTTTGTTAAAAGTTAATCATGTCTTTCAACATTACTGTAAGTGACTTTGTTCATTAAATTAAAATGGGCTACAACCAGAATGATCTTTTTTTAAATGCTAATCTAAATGTGTTTATTGATGAGTTTAGTTGTGGAATAAAAAACATCATACTGTATTCTATCAGAAGGGGGGACTTACAGTATTAGGGGCTCTTAAAACCTGTTAAGGACTCACATGGTTTGGGGCAGATGGTGGAAGATCCCTGAAGACCGGGAAAGTTCCCTAAAACTTAGGGTCTGGGGTCTACAGAGGCCTGGACAGACGAAAGCCAGGACTAGATGACTAAAGGATTATTGAAAAGGAACAATCTGGTGGATTAGTTTGTGAGCTGTGTGTTCATACTCAAACTCCACTAATTCCTGAGATGAGGAGGCTTGGTTGTGGGAGGAGACGCATGCATGGTCCCCTCCATATTCAGGTTTATCTGCTCAGTTTGTAACACTCTGTAGCCATGTTGAAATTTCGGATGAGAGTCTGACAGCAGAAGAAAGACCACTGCAACACTCCTTCTAAAAATGGGAGCATATGGAGAAGGGTTTCGGTTGCTTGGGTTCTTATCTTAAGAGCAGGAGGATTAGGCGGACTCAAACTCTTGTTTGACTCCACAAAAGTTTGAAATTTTGCTGGTGCCAGAGAAACAGGGTGCCTCCAATCCCTAGGAAGGCTGAACATGTTGGAGGACTGTCCCAACAGAGGTCCTAGTTAGGAAAAACAGGTGATTAGCAGGACAACCTTCTGAAGCAGGATGTTCGGAGTGAGATTGATAGACACTCCGAGGAAACAGAGAGGAAGAAGAATGACTGGTGGAAGACAACATTGTCATTCCTGGATAGGATATATAACTTTGATAAAAATGTTAAATTCAAGCAGTATCACCCGGTGTTGAAAAAAATCAGCCAATGCAAAAATTGCAATTTCTCAAGTGTCTGCTTGAGGCTGACTGCAAAAGCCAGAAATAAAAACATTTTACGGCCTGGTTCAAAAAGGAAATTTGATATCAATCGCTCCCTGTTTAGAGGTGCACACTGAACAGGGGTGAAATTTGTTTTAACTCATCCATTTTTTTTTTAGAGATTTATGAAAGAGATTTATGAAGGAGATTTTCATAAATTTGCACAATGGGGGCGTGGTTGAGTCGACTGAATGACAAGTGGATGTTGTGTAGCTGTTAACCAGTAGGCAAAAGGCCACGCCTCAAATCCATGACTTTGCCTATAATTCTACAATGATTGAAGTTAAGTGGAGAGAGCTTTCTAATATAGTCAAATCCATCGTTGGGCTTCATAACACCTCCTAAGAGACCAATGGTTGATGAAACTGACACTTTGTCTATTTAGACAGTCTATGACTCAACTTTATTTTTTATCCATCACACATTTTGCTATTCTATTCCACTTTCTCTTCAGAACAGGGTTCTCATTTATTACCAATTTGAAAGCTCCTTTGAGAAACTTTAGGGGCTGATATTAGGGGCCTTGGCTAGTTGACAACGCACTTTTTTATTGATTTTATCCTGTGATTTCTGTCTAAATAACATTTATTCCTGCTTTCT